CAAGATGGAGTCACAGACACAGGTTTTCATGTTCCTGCTGCTCTGGGTGTCTGGTGAGAAATTTAAAGCAGTATAATCTTTGTAGAGTCAATTCTTTGTATATAAGAAATTTAAAGTGTGTGCTAGTCCATAATATTTCTTATAGTATTTTGTGAGATATACACTGACAAGGTGACACTGAAAGTTTATTAAACTTCAGCTGTTACTATATTCTGTGTTTGCATATTATGAATCTTCATGTTGTATTCCTTATTAAAGGTGCCTGTGCGGGTATTGTGATGACCCAGTCTCCATCCTCCATCGCTGTGTCATTAGGAGAGAAGGTCACCATCAGCTGCAAATCCAGTCATAGTCTTTTCGACAGTGAAGACAACAAAAACTACTTGAGCTGGTACCAGCAGAAATCAGGGAAGTCTCCTAAATGGTTAATCTACTGGGCATCCACTCGGGATACTGGAATCCCTGATCGCTTCATAGGCAGTGGATCTGAGACAGATTTCACTCTCACCATCAGTAGTGTCCAGGCTGAAGATCTGGCAGATTATTACTGTATGNATTTCACTCTCACCATCAGTAGTGTCCAGGCTGAAGATCTGGCAGATTATTACTGTATGCAATCTTATGAGTATCCTCCCACAGTGCTTCAGCCTCCAACAAAAACTTCTGAGAATTTCAACAGCTGCCTGCACCACAGGCTGCCTTGCACATGTACACTTCTTCCTTCTGCCTAGGAGACAGTGAGCTTGAAACTAAGTTCAAAACATTGTCAGAGTCAAGCAAGCTATAATAGATTCAATGTCTCTTCATGTTTGGTATGAAAATCCTTACTTGAAAATGCAGAGGAGAACTCAGTATTGTCTTTCTTTTCCTTCTGTAATAAAATACCACAAACTCTATTACTTGAATATGAAGGATTTATCTTTCTATAGTTCAGTTCTCGTGTCCATCATAACTCTTTGGGCTGAAGTGATGACGACAAACTGTATTTTTTTTTTTTTTGGAAGCTGTGGGAAAGTATTTTTCCTACTTATCCAGATTCTAGAGTAGTTTCTTATTTCCTTATTGGTACCTGTTTTTTCTCCTTTTTATTTTGGTTTTTTACTAAATTTTAGTTGATTAAGTTTTTCTGTGTCAATATGAGTGTGCATTTGTGTGTTGTGTTTAAGTGTGTATATTTTTCTAGGTGTATATGACATGGCCTAGTTGTGAAGTTTAGAGTACAACTTGGACTTGTTTGTCATTTTTTTCATTCAAGTTCTGGGGTTAAAACAGGTTTGACATCAGGATTGGTGTCAAGTGTCTTTGGAATGTGAACCATTATGCTGCCCATTAAAATCTTTTTTTAATTGATTTTTCTTGATCTCTACATTTTTGTCTGCTCCACTCCATGCCTCTTTCCTGTCCTTCAACCCTCTCCCAAGGTTCCCGTGATCCAAATTTACTCAGAAGATCTTATTCTTTTCTATTTCCCATATAGATTAATCCATGCATTAATCTAAATTCATTATAAACAATTTTCTTAAGAGCAGTTTTTCCAGTATATCATATATTTGACCATATGTGCTAAACTTCCCCATTTCTCATTACATTTCCTGCTGTATTTTCTTCTCCTGTCTACCTTATACTCTTATCTCTGTCTCTCATACTTACACACACCCATTCCCACATATACATTCATACACATACACTATCAAAATACTATGCGCACAAAAAGGAAAGATCATCTCAATCATGAAAGCACAGACAAAATATTAGTGGAAAGAGAAGAGTAGATGAATAATGATTATCAAGAAAAAGATATGAGTATTCTAATGCTGCAAGTCAGTAACTCCAATACATTTGAAGAGCAGGGGCAAAGGAAAAGAAACTAACAAAAATCTAACACACCAAGAAACTCCAAAAAAAGAATCAAATTAATAAGCATATATTAATAATCATACATGACCACAATTAAGCAAAAATGATAGACACATTTTTGAACTAGGTTAAAAACTGTATCCAACTGTATGTTTTCTCCAGGAAACACATCTAACTTGTAACAATATACATGTGCTGGGGGTAAAAATGAAAGCAAATCTAGTAAGGGAACAGGGGCCCAAAACCAAGCCGATACAGCTCTGTTGATATTTTTTACATTAGAATCTGAACAAATCTGAATCAAACAGATAAAACCAGTCATAAGGTAAATGATTCACTAATAACAATTCCAAATGCATACACATCAAACTCTGGGGCTCAAGTCTTATATAGTAAATGTGGATAGATATTAGGAGGCCCTATTGGTTGAAGCTTTCAGTCTTCCATAGCCTGGAAGTACTCTGTGAGCTTGGCAAATGGAGGAGTCCCTCCACCCCCACTACCTACCTAGGGGAGGGCACCCTGTTCTCTGCCTGACCTTATTTGGAACTGTCTCTTGTCCCAAATACCTGATTTAACTCTAGCATGACCATTAAAACAGATCTCTGCAAAAGATTTCCCCGTGTTGCCCAAGGTTATTTGATATTGTGCTGGACCTTTTTGATAGGATTGTCCTTCCACCTATGATAACTAAGACTTGTACTAGGTGCTTTATGATAGGATTTTGCTGTACAGTGCAAATTATGTGATGAGTCACGTAATTTCCCATCCTGTAAGCCAAAGACTTACCTACCACCCATA